CTAAAATCTGAAAACATTTGATTGTTAGCATATTAAATGCGATAAAGAAAACATTCAACATGATGTATTTTTGATCGTTGCTGCATGAAGAGTTTAGAAAATATGTAGATTTCAGAGGAAACAGCATATACTGACATTTAACTTTTGAGAATTTTAATGGAAAGACAGCCATATGTCATTTATGACAAAGAGAACATACGAATATATGTAATTATGTGCGTATAATGTTGTTACTTTAAAGTTTAAATCTCATTTGCGTGGCGTGTTATCCTCCGTCCAACATTTCCAGTCCAAGATAAAATGATTCGGAAATTCCTTAAAAAAATCCTCAAAAACCTAAATTCCTTAAAAAAATCCTTAACACTCTTCAAAATTCCTATTTTTAAGGATAATTCCTTAAAAGTGAGAGCACTGGCCAGGGATCTATTCTAAAAGACCACACGAGTCTGAACACGAGTCTGAACACGAGTGAACACGAGTGAACACGAGTGAACACGAGACAACACGAGTGAACACGAGTCAATTTTTGACTCATGTTCACTCGTGTTCGTCATTTTTGACTCGTGTTCACTCGTGTTCGTCAGTTTTTGACTCGTGTTCACAAATTTTTGACTCGTGTTCACTCGTGTTCGTCAGTTTTTGACTCGTGTTCACAAATTTTTGACTCGTGTTCGTCAGTTTTTGACTCGTGTTCACTCGTGTTCGTCAGTTTTTGACTCGTGTTCACTCGTGTTCACAAATTTTTGACTCGTGTTCACTCGTGTTGTCTCGTGTTCACTCGTGTTGTCTCGTGTTCACTCGTGTTCAGACTCGTGTGGTCTTTTAGAATAGATCGTTGCCAGGTGGTCTGAGCCCGAAAGAGCCAAATGATACGTGAAAATAGCCAAATCCAACAGGTAAACAGGGTGGACTTTTGTCGACGCTGCATAAAAATAGTGCGGGCTCGTGAGCTTTTTCCCGCAAATTTTGCTTTTTGTTGTTTTGCTTACAATTTTTAAGGATGTTGAAGTTTTCTGCATTGTGATTCACTGGTTTTTGAAAGCATCGGGCTTTATTCTTTGGAACTTGCAGGCTACCTCTTCAACAACCTAATGACTGTTTTTAAAGCAAAGCAATTGAAAGGAAAACTTATATTTTCATACGAAGAAGATGAGTGGCGATATTTATGTTGTACTGTTTTGAGCAGATGCTTCGAAGAACATGATATGTTCGGACCTTGTATCTTAAAAGTGTGCTTGGAACAGCTGAACAAAGTGGTAAATTGTGTTACCCGGTGTGCTGGGCATCATAATTCACATGAATAGTACACAGTGGCGTTTGAACTGGCTATGAAATATCGTGAATACTTCGTCGAGTTCTCTATCGCCATGTGACCTGTAGTTTAATGTGACACGCGTCTTTGGAAGGGCTTTACTTGACTTTAATCGACGTGTTAGGTATAACTTAGGTAAGCCAACATTTCTTTGTAATGCAAGCTACATTTTCATATCTTTAATGTGTGAATATTTTTAATTT